GCCCCACCACGACTCATTCAGCTCGCGCTTCAAGCTTGCAGTCACCACATCCGCCCCAGCTGAGCTCGAACGATCATAAATTGGTGTTCTCGCTATCTTGAATTTCTTGTATCTGAATTCTTTTCCATCTTTTCCTTTCGTTCAATTTCGTAAAACACGCCAATCGCCCTTCTTTATACCCCGCCATAGCCGACACAATGGCCGACCCCGCCGCCATCCAAGACGAGATTACCGCAATCGAAAAGCGAATTGAAGAGGCGCAATCACAACTCAAAGACGCAAAGGAAAGGTTACGAAAGGCCAAAGATGCTGCGTACGATGGCCCCGGCGCAAACTTGTCGGCTGAAGAAAAGATGTCGCTCATCAAGGTCAACTTGGCTGAAGTGCTGAACCCAGAGATTATGGATGAGGCGTTGAAGAAGCAGGGCCACCTGAAGGTCTACTGGGGTACTGCGACAACAGGACGACCTCATTGCGGATACGTGCGTCTTGTGTTATTTGAATTGAGTCGCGTGTGATACTGATAAGCTCCATGTAGTTCGTCCCTATCCTCAAGCTTGCACAATTCCTCGCAGCGGGCTGCCATGTCAAGATTCTCCTTGCCGACATCCACGGCTTCCTCGACAACTTGAAAGCGCCAATTGAGCTTGTCAAGTTCCGCGCCCAATACTACCGCTTCACCATTACAGCGCTTCTGAAGGCGGTCAAAGTACCAATCGAGAAACTAGAGTTTGTGCTGGGCTCAAGCTACGAATTGAATGCAGACTACACAATGGATCTTCTAAGGCTGGCAAGTATAACGAGCGAGGCTACTGCGAAAAAGGCCGGTGCCGAGGTCGTCAAACAGACGGAGAATGCGCCACTCAGTGGACTTCTCTACCCTCTCATGCAAGCTCTCGACGAGGAGTACCTCGATGTAGACGTTCAGTTTGGTGGTGTAGACCAACGTAAAATCTTTGCACTCGCAAAGGATGTGCTGCCCAAGATTGGCTACAAGGAGCGCGCCCACTTGATGAACCCCATGGTTCCTGGTCTGCAAGGTGGAAAGATGAGCGCTTCCGACCCAGATTCCAAGATTGACGTTCTCGATGATGCGGATGTAGTCAAGCGCAAGCTCAAGAAAGCGCATGCGGCACCAAAGGTGGTCGAAGAAAACGGCGTCCTCAGCTTCGTCGAATACGTTCTCCTCCCCGCCGGCCATCTCATCCATGGTGAACCCAAGTTTGTTGTTAAGCGTCGCGAGGGTGAGCCCCTCGTCTACACTGACATTACAAAGATGCAGGAGGACTACCGCAACGACATCCTCACTCCTCAGGACCTCAAGCCTGCTGTCACAGAAGCCCTCATCACCCTGCTTGAGCCTGTACAAAAGGAGTTCCAGGCTAGCCCTGAGTGGAAGGAGATTGAGCAAAAGGCTTACCCACCACCACCTGTGGTCAAGAAGGAGAAGAAGGTCAAGAACAAGGGTACCTTCCACCCAAAGAGAAATATCGAGACCAAGCCAGACGGCCATGTTGAGGGTGAGGACAAGGCAACTGTAGATGTGGGGACCGAGGGTGGTGAGAAGGCCATCGAAGGTCTGAGTCTAGAGGAGAAGAAGTAAGATGATAGACCCAACATGATGGGGGAGACATATATAAAACATAATGCAAAGGAAAAAAACGCACTTTATTGGTCTATGGTATCATGCTCTCAAGTCACATAACTCAGCCCAGCCACCCAGCTCTATCCCCCCTTATTCCCAGATACGCCATAAACGTACAGACGTTTCCCACCTTTACTTCCCCTCACTACTTACGCAAAAAAAAAACACCCCCCAGCTTCACGCACTTAAAAACGAAAAAATGCTCATTCTTCCTCGTAAATCTTGACCTTCTCCGCATACTCGCGGATATTCGAATGAATCGTCTCCTCAATCAACTCACCGCGTCCACCCGCAACCTGGAGGATCAAATCATTCAACGACATACGACCCAGGATATCGACGTGATCCGCTAAATTCACCCCCCATCATCAGCTCATGCACAAAATACAATAAAAAAAAAGAGAGACAGAGAGAGAAGAAAGAAAAAACATACCAGTATTCGGACCACCCCTCGGACTAAACCGATCAGGCTCATGTCTCATTTCAAACGTCGTAACTTTCACGCCTGCAGGATTATACCTTTTGATCTTCCACCCTTTAGCGCACATATACCCACTACTGAGTAAATTCACCGTGCCATCGCCTTCACCCATTACAACGCCATGATCCACATTGCCCTGGGTATACATGGTATCGAGGGTAACATTGAGTTCGCTAACGGGATCGTCGTCGCTGCGGTAATAATACGCGCGCTCTGTTTCCTTGCCTACGCCGTAGAAGCAGTAGATTTTGAGGTTGGGGGCGAGCGGGAGACGCGTTTCGAGGGGGTTGATCCATTTTGCGGGGAGGAGCTGGTTGTCTTCTACTTGCTTTGTTGTGTGGGCTACGCCGTGGGAGTAGGAGGATAGGATCATTTTCTTGAACCAGGGTTCGGTGTTGCGGAAAAGGAACGGCAGAGTTTCATCTATTGTGATGTTTTTCTTTGTAAGTGTGGAATTCGAGTTGCGGAAGCGTAGGAAGCGGCCGTGGGTTTCGTTTTGGCCGGGCAAGTCGTCGGGCGCGCCGGATTCGTCGCCCCAGACGGCATTGCCGCCGAGGGGGAGCATGGCGGAGAGACCGGGCATGGCGCGGAAGAGTTCGGCGCGCTCGTAGCGTGAGAGGAAGCGGTCGAGGCCGTAGACGGCGAAGGCGTTGAGTTGGGCTGTGTCTTTCATTTCACCCGAGAGTACGGCGGGAACGTCTTTGACGGCACCCAGCATGCAGCCCGAGATGTTGATCCACGAGTCGATGTGCTTGTCGACCCAGTTTGGGCCGCCGTTGCCGTAGCCTTCTGCTTCGACCCAGTGGAGGAAGTAGTAGAGTACCTGGGAGCCCATGGAGTGCGAGAGGAGCACGACTTTTTGGTTCGACACGCGGACGCCGACTTCGATATGCGACTTGAGACGGGTAAAATACTGGTCGCGGATTTCGTAGTTCATATATGACATGCGCCAGTCGTAAGCTGCTGTGAAAGCGTTTCCAGGATCGTATCCGACCGTAGCAAGGTTCTCGAGAATCTTGTTCCATATCCAGTATCCCGTTATAAAAAAGTCTGCTGCGTCGAACCCTTGCGCCGCACGCAGTTTGACACCTGGTGGATCGAGTCCAGTGTCTTTATCAAGCATAATGTGGCGCTTCCATTGAGCCTTGTCCATAACCAATGCGCGCATCATTGTCCACGAACCCCACAGTCTCTTGCGAAAGTACTGTCTTGAGCTTTCCTCTGTGCCCCATGATTCCAGTCCCGTGGAGATGACACCAGGAATCATGATAACTGGGTGCTTAGCCTTTATGCCCTGCTTCTTCGCGTGTAGCCCGACGGCAAAGGAATCGTAGTTTACGGCGTCTCGTTCGGTTTTCTAGTGGAGGGGTGAAAGTCAGTCTCCATCCCTCTCTGCTGTCTTTCGAGACCACCTGTATGTACAGAAAGAGTGGGCATACCTGCATCTGTTGCGCACTCTTCACAAAGTTCTCTGGTAGTGCCTCCAAGATGCTCTCCAGGTTCATTTCCCCCAGACTCGTCAGGTCAATCATGTCATTATTGCTCGCAAAGAACCCCGCGGCCAACAGTCCGAATAGGCCACCAAGAACAAAAACCCAGATATTATTCCTCTTCTTGTGCTTTCCCTTCTGTTTCAACGTCGCCAGTTGCTCCGCGGTAATCACCCGCAGATTCGCTGGTCGTTTACCATCTGCTCCAGGTGAGGGTTCGCGAGAGAACTCAGGCGTCGAGTCCTCTCCTTCGCCGCCGGTACCGCCGCCGCCGCCGCCGCCAAAGCGACGTCTCAGAAAAGACATGTGCAGATACTAGTAAAAGGAGTATCCAAGGTGAAAAAGGTTGGTGAGAAAGAAACCAAGCAGAGTTTCTCCCTGCACAAAGGGTCGCAAATGTCCGAATCCTCCGGCATGTGACGGAACGATCGACAACAAGGGTCCTTCGCAAAGGCACGTTTGCGCCCGTTGTTGCCAAGCCGGGGGTCTCTCCGCAACCTTGTCCAACCTACCTCCACTTGCCGCCGCCTTCAACACCGACTTCCACGCGCGAAATGGCCGGAAATGACGACAGCCTGACTGCGGCTGATGCGCCAAAGACTGGCGATCCAGAAGACCTAAAAGATTCGGATCTCCAGTATATACAATACGAACCTTCCAAGGAAGAGCAATATCTCCCCGCCATCCGCCAACTAATCTCAAAGGACCTCTCTGAGCCCTACAGTATCTATGTATACCGCTATTTCCTGTACCAATGGGGCGATCTTTGCTACATGGTATGCGCACTCTTCTAAATCTAGACTTTTTGGTTTGTTACTTCAATAACCTTCGCTAACAACTTCCTTGATAGGCGCTCTCCCCCACCAACGCTCTAATTGGCGTAATCACATGCAAGCTCGAACCGCACCGTTCAGGGACCTACCGGGGTTATGTCGCAATGCTCGCAACGAAGGAGGAATACCGAGGCCGCGGTATAGCTACCAAGCTTGTCCGGTTGGCCGTCGACGCCATGACTGCACGCGACGCCGATGAGATAGTCTTGGAGACAGAAGTGTCAAACACCGCAAGTCTGAAGTTGTATGAAAGGCTAGGCTTTATAAGAAGCAAGAGGCTGCACCGGTACTATCTGAATGGCAACGCAGCGTTTAGATTAATTCTCTACTTGAAGGAAGGTACAGCCTTGAAAAGACCACAATTCCCCGAGCACGGTGAGACGCATGGAATGAGAAGACCGGATGATGCCGAGTTATACTCATAACTTCCATTACCTATCAAGTGGGTAACAGCCTTTGCAACAACGTGTCCATAGTCTCTGACTTGGTAATAGGCTGTACCATATATCTCATGCCATCCCATACCGATCATCCTGAACCAAATCCACTGCCTATTCAGTGCCCTTTACCCAATGATTCTTCTCGGTCCAGTGTGTGTGCTCACCAGGTCTGCCAGGAACTGGCATGAACACCACGGTACGAACACCATCGACCTCGAGGAGCAAAGCGCATGGACGGTGATGCTTAACCCATGTTGATGAGCACAAAGGGCAAGCCTTGCGCGCCTGCGGTTGGCCTGAAGGCCTATGACCATCTAGAATGTATCGGAGTATGCATGTGTCCCTGTTCGGTGGCATCGTGTCGAAGAGCTGACTGGCCGCACCGGTGATGTACTTGGACAGTTCAGTAGTCAGAAGTCTACCGAGCTCCCCAGGAATATTGCTACTCTTTTTTATCTGCCCAGCCCATTCCGGAAGATAGGGATCCGCGTCACCTATCCAAAGGGCAATCGGGTAACGACCAACCATGGGTTTAGGTAATTGAATGTTCTCAGTAGCAGCAGCTAAGAGGGGTGGAATTCCAGACTGTCGGTTGTGGACACGAGGACTTTGTACCTCATGTTCGGGTAGTTGCTTGTGACGATCATATACTGGCTTTTGCATATGAAACGACGCCATGGACTTTTGTATCCGAGTTGACAAACGCTGAATGTCAACTCGAGGGCGCTTGCTGATCACTTCCTCCATATCTTGTAGCGATTCTCGCTTCAACGATGATTGTTCATCAATGTGACTGGCTGTTCGTCCATGTACGCGTGCAGGCCCCAAGGGGATACTGTTCGAACCGGTTTTGTTGTGTGGCTTCTCGACCGAAGGAGCTTCGTACAGATCACGATATGGGTCCATCTCGAGTGGTACAGAGGCAATGAGAGTTGCTCGTGCAGGGTTAATCGTTGCGGTCCCAGCTGTAGCGGTGCGCTCCTCTGTAGCCTGCACATCACTGAAAGCCTGCACAAGCTTGTCATACTTTGTCGCCTTTGCAGTGAGTCCATTAGGTCCATCGATCCTGGATTTCGTCTCTCGAAACATAAGCTGATGCTCCCGTAAATTCTTGGCTTCGGCGATGAGGCCGTACAGACCCTGGAGACCCCCGACCTCATCCAAGCCGATACGGAATGAGTTCACATCCGAGACCAGCTCTTCAAGCTCCGGAAGACTACCGACCTTCTCTATCAGTGACCGCACAGACTGCATTTGCGACACGAGCGCTTGCAGTCCTCCGGCTTCTCGGATGATTGGCTTAAGCACGTCGGCTTCGAGGGCTTTGGCACGCATGCCCTCACGGCCAGCTTCAGCACGTAGTTGCTCAATGCTAGCTGCCTGCTCTTCGCCACTTGAGAAGCCGCAGATAACATCTCTGTATGCCCAGCAAAGCTTGCTCAGCTCCTCATGTCTTGTTACAAGCTTTCGATAGCGCTGCTCAAGCGTTTCGTACTCGTAAGAAGCAAGTTGCAGTTGAGCTTGGAGCAGTCAGTGATGTTTCTGTTGACAGGATGGAGGTACCTACCATGCAGTCCACTATCGTCTGGGGTGACACTCGTGTGATCGAAATCATCAAGGAGTAGTGAAGGCGAGGAGCTAACAATCTCGCCTTCTTCCAACTCACTGTCTTCACGCTTGATTAGCTTCACTCCGTCCGAGTGGGTTGCATTCTCAGAGACGCTGCGCGGCATTTTTTCTTGCGTTGTTTGTGTATATGTGCGTTGGAAGGAGTTTCTAGTGGGTGAGAGACGTGATGCGGGTTTCACATGGTAGGAGGGGTGTTTGTTTACTCCCAAGACTGATCCGTGGAAGTTGCGGGTAAGCACGATGGCCATGTCACAGGGAAGTGGCAAGTCTCAAAATAGCAACTTCACTTCGCAGCGCCCTCACATGAGATGCTGCCACATATCAATGAGTGTAAGAATGAATATTGAGCACAGAAAATGATACATGACGCAACTTGATGCTACTTTGATATTGAAGTTTTCCAAAACTGATACTTTCATCCGCTTCCGAATCTATGGCCATAGCCTACAGCTCAATTTCCAGCTTCACAATCTCACCTGGAGGTATCTTTTGCGCCTCACAGTGCATGAGAGAGGGGTACTGTGGATGCATCGATTTCGTAGCGTTGATTTTACGGTGCAAAGCTCGCAGGATGCTTGTCGAGTCACAGTATATTATCAGGTTGATATCATCTGATTTAGGTATATCCGAAGCTTTGAAGTAGAGGGTTGCGGGCTACAGTATATTGTGTATGGACTTGTCGAATTTAAGTGCGAAGGCTACGTGCGAGACAAGTGATGTGTTGTAGTGATGAACCACTCCACGATCCTGAGATGCGAGCTGTCAGCAACTCTGATTGAGCTATTACACCCAAAAGTTTATTAATTCCTACTGTTGTCTTGTAATCAACAAGCCTTATCACTCCATCTTTGCGAGTTTCTCGATCACATCGTGGCCGTCCTCACCCTCTTGTATTCCCATAATAACAATATCTCCCTCCGAGTCGCCTGCCCCTCACGCATCAACATCGACGACTGCGAGCCCCAAGGACAGTATTACGTAGGATTAGGCCCTTCGAAGCGTCCAAGACCAGTAAGGTAATCTCCAGGAACACCGAAGCTTCATTTGACCTATAAGCTGTCAGCCATGAATCAAATTTCAGGTTGCTTTTTCTGACTGACCATGGATGCCCACTATACTACGAAGTCTATCGGCCTTGCAGTAGTGACGCGCACTATGCTACCAAGGTGCCTGCAATCATTGTCTGGAGCCCTTTGGCAAAAGGTATATCCGGATTGATATGATGTCCATCTCTGAATTTGATAGCTACATCATGCCCCACAACCATATCTTCTGAGAGTGCGCAATCGCCTTAGCGACTCTACTAACCCTCTGGAAAAGTTTCTTTTGCGAGGGTTGAAACCTTGGTATCCATTCTCGCCTACTTTGGGTGGCTTGACGGCGAGATAGGTGGCTTGGAAAGCAAGAGACGTGACTGGTTCTGTAGAGAGCTGATATCAGCTTGGTGTGCAGACACACCAGAACAGGAAAGTGACGCAGTCTTGACAAGGCTCACATCTGTTGGTGAATCTATCTCGTCGTCCTCTTGACCGAGCTCGGCCGCAATCATTATACCGACAGCTTTGGCCGAGGTATGTATTGCCCAAGTGGCAAATGCATCTCGTCTCGGTATGTGGAGGTGCTGGAGAGATGCTGGAGAAGCCGGGGTGCGGGTCCCACTCACATATAATTCCCGCCCGTACTCGACCGAGATGCCTTCAGCGGCCCACTTTCTTGACACTGGGGCTTGTAGGCGCCCCATCTGGAGCGGCCGTGAACGGGCGGGAACGCGCCTGGACGTGTAATTTGCTGAAGCCATAGAACTGTATATGTATGAGCAGCGTCGTGTACGTAGTAGCACATTGAACATCAAACTCCTTCCAGAAAACACTGAATTCTTAATTTCGATCTGGAATCATGGCTCCATACCTGAACGACGAAGAAACCGTCCAGCAGCCATATGGCGACTGGAGAGATGAGTTTTACGAGAAGGGTTACGTAGTGCTCAAGGGTGTAGTTCCCAAGGAGCGAGCGCTGAAGTACCGCAACAAAATGATCGACTGGCTCGGCACATTCCCCAACGACTTCGATGCCAACAAACCAGAGACATGGACCAAGGAAAACTTGCCCCAAAGTTTCAAGAACGGCATGTACCTCAACTACTGTGCTGCACACGAGAAATATGTCTGGGAGGCGAGGCAGTAAGTCCGACACATTCGCTCGAAATGTCCATGTGAGCGATAGTTACTAATATCGTACGCCGTAGGGAACCTGGCGTTCTGGCCGCTTTTGAGAAACTCTGGAACACAAACGAGCTTATTGTATCTTATGACACCATCAACCTCACACTGCCAAACGCCTCGAAGATGGGCGGCTCCAAGCCATGGCCACACGTCGATCAGGCACCTGAGCGACAAGGCTTGTCATGTGTGCAGGGCATCATCAATCGTAGGTTATCATCGTTTCCGATAACACCACACCTCACTGACAGCAACTCTTAGTTTCTGAGGCTGGACCTAAAGACGGAGGCCTAGTAGTCATGGAGGGCAGTGCTAAGCTCTTCGACAAGTTCTTCAAGCAACACCCACCGGACCGAACCAAGGGCCCATTGGCAGCCCTTCATTACGACTTCTACCCCTTCCAAGACTCCGATGTGAAGTGGTATGAGGAGCATGGCTGCAAATTGGTCAAGGTCTGCGCTGAGCCTGGTGACTTGATCCTCTGGGATTCGCGGCAGATGCATTATGCCGTATACCCCGAAACAGACAACATCCGCACAATCATATATGCTTGTTATACACCAGCGGCTATGGCATCCAAGGAAGATTTGGAGAAGAAGAAAGAGATATTCGAGAAATGGGAAGCAACAACACATTGGCCACACATCAACATCCATTCACAAGGCAAAGCCATGGTGGATGGTAAGATCGATCCTTGGGAGAGAACTGAGCCGCTGGAGAAGCCCGAGTTGACGGACAAACTACTGAAATTGGCGGGAGTCAAGCCGTACTGAGAGTGTGCTCGTGGTGGTGTTTTGGTTTCTCAGTACAACAGCGAAATTTTATATAAAACGCTATAGATGTGAAAATACATGGTCCCATTCTGTGATTGCATAATTTCCGTCGATTGTGTTTTCAGTTCCATCAAAGACACCTATGGTGTCGCCGTTGCTAACGTGAGGCAAGCCGTCGATTACAGGACCCGAGTCGATTGGTGGGTTGGACGGCGCGCCTAGATCTGCTACTGCAAGCTGCTGCAGCAGGTCTTGCATGGAATATGAAGTGCGAGGACGGTCAAAATCATGCTGCTCCAGTAGAGGCAAAAGACCTTCGAGCATAGCGGAACCTTTGGCGGCGTGGACGGCGACAACTGCGTGCTTCTTCAACTCAACAGAAGCCTGTCTTAATAGACCGATGATGTGGTTTCGGGAGTCCCCACGATAATTGTGAGAGTTGGCAAGCATATCCAACGATATATAGACAGCGGCGGCGACTGTTGCTGCTGATACGGTCCACACTAGCCTGTATACTCTTGGGACCGGCTTCGCATAATGATCCAAGATGCGGTTGGCCGATTCAAGGGCAAGCTGCCTGTAATTCGTGCTGTCATCCCTGGATTCTTGAGGGTTGAGTACACGGGCGATGGACAACAGGAGGAAGTCGAGAACGTAAGCAATCAGGTATCGCTGGAATGGAATCCAATGATACTCAGATTCCCATATTATATCATCTTCGTTGGCAGGGAAACCTGGTGATAGATGGAGGGGTAGATCTCGTCGGACGGCAGTGATCTCCTCGATAGCCTTTACAAACTTCAAGTGAGTCTGGTGAGTATTTGCTTTGATGTAAATGTATATTATGTAAGAAAGACGGGACAAGATTGAGTGGTAATGTGCAGGAGAAGGAGGCTCTAAATTGGTAGACTCGGAAGAGCCAGGGCTACCAATCGTGTAGAAGCTAGGCATAAAGTATTCTCCATGGTTGCTTGCAATTGAAGTCTGACAGCAAAAACTAGCGGGTGATATGGACGGCGGCCGAACCCAGCTCCCAAGCCTGTACGGTGTTTATTAGTGACATGGTACTTGGTGATATGTATTTTACAGTGATTCAGCACTTACCAGTCCCGAATGACACAGGTCCACCACAAACGACGACCCAGTTCGCGCTGCACAGGTGAAGACCATTCTGGTCTTCGACAAATGTCCTTTGAGCAGTTTGCTTCGTTGCCAAGCTTGTGCATGTCGAGGAGCCTTGCCGTGCTTGTTGCAAAGCTAGAAATGAGCCATTCCCTTTGGTGCTCGCCAAAGTTGGAGTGGCATAGGCTCAATACTACAATGGCCTGCACAGTGCAAAGTGACGAAGTACCGCTGAAGCCGTGTCTTTGTAGTTCCTTCAGTGCAGCCTCATACCAGAGATGAGAAGTATCAACAGCGACGGAAATAGGATCAGCACGAGGCATGCCTAGCTGGGGCAGGTGGGCTGCACTTGGTACATCTTCCGGGTCGGAATAGAGGATGCCAACAGCCAGGACAGCAAAATAAAGAGCGACCCATAGCCTTTGTTCGGTCTTGATGCCGGCACCAAGTTCTACATTTTTCCAAAAGTCGTGATGCTCGGCCAGGAAGTCGTTGGCGTTGACGGCGCAGTGTATCCAGCCAAGTGTCTGCAGGGAAAAGGTGACAATGCCAAGGCTAGCCTCCCGACTCGGAAGAAGCAGAAATAGTGGATCAGCTGCGGGTTCGTAGAGACCATTGAGGATCGCTTTCTCGGCCCCGGCTCGGGCGGCTGCACCCACCTTGATGCCGAGATCGAACTGCTCAAAGGCGGGAACTAGGTCCTCAAGTGTTGCTGCGGGTTGGGTGTAATCTGTGGATTCACTGGTGCGGCTGTGGCCACATGGCTTGGACAGAGCAAGGGCTGTCTCGAGCTCGGCAATTTGCGCCTGGAGGGCATTGCGTTCACGGAGCAAGTCTTGTAGTTGAATGTCTGCTGGGCTGCCAGCGTCTTCGGCAGTGTAGACAGTCAACTGGCCCCTCACCCGGGCAATCGGTCGCTTGCACTCATGGGCAGCATTCCTGCGGATGCATGGCTGGCAGGGGCTCTTCTTGTCGCATTTGATTTTGCGCCGCCCGCACTCGATGCACGACCGGGACACGCGCTGCGAAGTCTTGATGGCAGGCTCACTCATTAGACCGTGGGTGTTATTGTCGGTGTTGTTGTTGACTATGGTTATTATGATGATCCTGACTGGAATGATGACGATGACACTGATGATGACGATGATTTGCTGACGAGACGAGCATGACTGAGGCTGAAGTTGGCTCCCACTACTACTAACCTACCGCTCGGGCTTCACTTCCCCGCGAAACGATTCCCCCCTGGCCAGACCCACCCATCCCCACACCCTAAACCCGCGCCCTCCACAATCCGTACGCGTACTTATTGGGCTGGGCGGCTCAGCTCGGGGGAGATGTCAAAGAGCACTCCTCTGTCTGTCGCATCGACGAAATGCCCTGGCCACCACAGCGACGCCTACCCGAGGCAGTCGGGCAATACAAATTGTCCACGACGCCATGTAATTGACCCTCATCAACGCCTTCTCATCATGGCTGCTCACGACCCCAAGTCCGAGGCCAGCGCTCACATTGAAATTCTTGATGCGCACAAGAAGGCTGCAAAACCCGTCGTGGGTACCATCAGACTGTTCGATGACGACGGCATCGTTCTCATCCCGACTCCGACCAGAGATCCCAATGGTGAGTCATAGCCAGGTGGACGTTCAATGGCGAAGCCAGTCTGACCGAGACTAGATCCTCTAAACCTTCCGACATGGCAAAAGTATCTCATCCTTGTCATCGTCGGCCTCTTCGCAGCGTCCGCCAACCTCATGGCAAGCGGAATCAGTGCCATTCTGCCCATAGTCAAAGCGTCGTATAATGGAGATCCAAAGACAAGCGACCTCGCAACTTGGCCGGCATTCTTCATGGGCGTCGGAAACCTGATTGCGATTCCCGTTGCTCATGCTGTCGGGCGAAGGCCAATCTACCTCCTGTCGACAATCGTCTTGTCTTTCGGCTGCCTCTGGTGCGCATGCAGCGGCAGCTTGGCCTCGCATATCGCCGGGAGAGACATCATGTCCATCGCTGCCGGCCAAGCTGAAGCCCTCTGTCCCATTATTGTGCAAGAGATTTTCTACTTGCACGAGAGAGGAAACGTGATTGCGTGGTTTTGCGCACTCCAGACGCTTGGCACGGCAGCGCTTATTGTCTCAAGCTCGTACCTCGCAAATGATCTCGGCTGGAGGTGGTGGTATGGTGTCTTTGGTTGCCTGAGTGGAGCTATTGCTGTTCTCAGTATCCTCTTTGTAGTCGAAACAAAGTACGAGCGCACACTAGAAGCACTGAGTAAGTCATGGCCAAATTCACTGTTTGGCTCAGATGCTAACATTGCACAGCTGGCCAAGGTATCGACGAGGACGGAACGCTGGTTCCGGTAACGACAAACACAAAGCGTAAACTCGATACCATCAATTACGCTCCGCGTAGTTTTGTTCGAGACATGCTACCCTGGAATGGTCATGCACGATGGTCAGAAGCAATCACCTGCTGGAAGCACATGATCCAGATCATTTGGTTTCCCAACATTCTTTGGCTGACCTTGATCAACTCTGTGGCTCTCGGCATCTATGTGCTCATGTCAGCACTGTTTGCCGGCGTCCTGGTACAACCCCCATATCTCTGGAACTTTGATATGCTTGGCTACGTATTCGCTGGACAAATCGCTACTGCGGTCGCCGTTCCATTCTTCTGTGGATACTTGAGCGATTTGGTAGTCAAAATTTTGAGCAAAAGGCATGACGGCGTCAGTCAACCTGAGTATCGGTACATTGCTCTCATCATCCCACTAGTATCCACACTCATATCGACAATCATCTTTGGAATGACTGCGCAGCACCCTAAGGATTGGAGCTGGGCAGGCATCGCTGTTACGCTCAACTTTGAGTACTTTGGCTTCGTTGGAATTGTCGTATCCAGTTTTGTCTACTGCATGGATGCTTATCCTCAGCGCATCGATGCTGCTCTCGTTCTCATCTGCTCTCTGAGAGGTTTCATCGGCTTCGGAATCTCATTTGGTACAGTCAGCTTTGTGGAGAAGGCCGGGTATGAAGGCGCATTCAACATCTGCGCAGGTATCGTAGCAGCCTCGATGGGTCTTGGTATTCCTGTGTACTACTTTGGTCCAAAGATTCGTGCAATCACCCAAAGGTTTGCTCAGGATGATTGAGTATTGTTCTAATAGTACCTGGATCTGTTTGGCGAATTGTTAGTGTATAGCGTGAAAAGGTAGGTGACCGGCATTGAGGAGCTGTTGTATATGTACATTTATATCTCTAGATAGATTTATGAGAAATGAACTCCACATTTGAATAACCAAGGTTCTTTGGCAAGTCAAACATGTATGCTACTTGTCTTTTTTTGCTTCTTTGCTTTGTCGAAGACTCTCGCGCGACGTCACAAAGGGGCGTGTGAGGTAGGTAGAGTAAGTACGAAGTAGTTATGTTCTGTATGTATGGCGGTGCCAAGCCAGGCTTGGGATATCGATAGCGTCACGTGAGCCCACTTGGAAATCAAAGTACGCGAACACATAATATGTACGAATATAACACATCATTCCTGGTTTTTATGGCACATACGACCATAGGCGAAGTATCGAATTGGGTCCCGTTCGCTCCCCAGACATTAAACCTTCGACCGGCGGACTAGTAGTCAGGTGGGTGACCACTGGCGAATCCCCGCTGTTGTATGTTTTTGCAAGTTTTTTTTTGTTTCATCTGTGTACGTCACTTGGGCAGGATCGTGATATAAGAATATATTTAACGATTAGGAAATGTACTGGATATTATCTTTCAGGGACTTCTACACATCGCATGTATGGCCTTGCAGAAAGTTGACGTCATGTGCAGCGCTCTGTAAAACTTGTATTTTGCTCCCTTACTAGTTCTTCTACTTACATCCCAGAATCAGTTTGTTTTCAAGTACCTTGTCCGTCAAGGCAGTCACTACAGACACTATTTGGGATTTATCAAAAGTAGGGATATACCAAGGATGATATTGAGCAATTCATGGACCGTAGTAAATAACAGAAAATAGAAACCCCTCAATCCATCCAAGGCACAACCACCTCCACATGATTGTATCACTATCCTGATGTGCCCTGAACATTTTACTGAGTAAGGAATTGACCTAACATTAATAGCCCCACTCTGAAAAAAAAGAATAAAGCAACCCTCATAACACCCCCAGACATGGACGTCATTCACTTCCCCCTCTCTCGCTCCCCGCATCTCCCCTCCGATCCATCAGCCTAAAAATCCGTCTTCCCACCCATAACCTTAGCCGCATTGACCGCATTCATCTTGGCCGCCCAGCCCTGTGCAGGCACAATCTTGCGCACAGTCCTGACTTCATCCGAGGCATAACCTGGAATACGAATATTGTAGTTACGCTCGAGAATGACCTGAATATCGCGAATGTCTAGCTGGGGAGAATCGCGGAGTTTGGAGAGCTTGCAGGCATTGCTTATGACGTTATCAACAAAGTCGTCTGCAAGCTGGAGGACGGCCTAAAAAGAATGTTAGTCACGAGGTCAGTGGTTTTTGGATAAGTGAAAAACTTTACCTCTTCGACTTCAGGTGTGAGGGCTTCTTCTGAGCCACCCGTAACTTGGCGGACGAGCTCGTCTAGCTTACGCTTGCTGAGAACTCGGTCGCCGTCGCCTTCGAGCTGGAAGGGCGGTGGTCGCGGGATAACGGGCTGACCCATTGGTCCTGGCGCACCGTTGGTAGGGCCACTCATGGTTGGCCGCGCTTGACCCATGTGGACAGCTTGTGGTGAGGTTACGTTCAGGTGTCGAGGGATCGGCATCTTGGGGTTGTTCAGTTGCTCGCGCTCGCGACTGCCAAAGTTGCCACCTTGTCCACCTTGCTGCATGGGCGTGTTTGTGCGCTGGGGGTCAGTGTAGGATCGGTTCGCAGCACTAACGGCAGCCTGGTGAGAGAGGGGAACTGGCGGACCGGTTCCGGTTGCAGACTGTGGGTGCGGTGAATTGCTCTGCTGGTGTGCGTTGGCTTGCATGGGGTTGATCTGAGGTCGCTGCTGTTGGTGAAAGTTTTGTTGCTGCTGTTGCGCGAATTGCGGCATTTGATTTGGCGGCATTGTTTGCGAGTGAGGCACTGGTGGCCGAGGCTGCTGTTGCTGCTGTTGCTGCTGCTGCTGAGGAAGTGAAGGTGGCATTTGCTGGTTGAGTTGCTGTTGCTGTTGCGGTGGTTGTTGCTGGTTCCCTTGGTTTCCCTGGATGTTGTATTGTTGTTGGGGCTGGGATTGCTGAGGTTGTGGCTGTTGCTGCGTTTGCTGCTGCGGTTGCGGTTGCGGCTGCTGTGGCTGTCCACCCTCAACCTTGATCTGAGGCTCCTCTTTCACCTGAGGTTGCGCAGAGACATTAGGTTGCGATGGTTGTCGTTGAGGCGGCTGGGGTTGAGATTGTTGTTGCGACTGCTGCTGCTGTTGCGGTGGCGGCGGTGATTGTGCTGAGTTCTGGCCTTGGGTCTGCGCCTGTGCCTGGCCCTGTGAATTCTGCTCGCGCTCTTCCTTCCACTGCTTCTGCAAAGCTCGAAACTTGTCGATTTGCGCCCTCATATTGGTATGCTCCTTCTCAATCTTGCCCTTCAAGACGAGTAGATCTTGTGGCAAATCTTGTCCGTTGCTTTGTCGTTCGCTCAGTTGTTGCATGAGTTTCTTTCTACTCTCGTTCAAAGAAGCCTGCTTCGCTAGCATGTTCAAGTAACCCGTCCGATATTCTTTCAGCTTGACCTCATACTCGGGCGTGCCCGGCGAAGGTCCGGTCAACGGCCCCTGCATAGGGAATTCGTGGACGTGCTTTACTATAGCAGGATCCACCTGACCGCGACCTTGGTTTTGGCCTTGGTTTGATTGCTGTTGGCCGACTGCCCCCGCGGTGTTTTCGGCGCGAGCCTGGCCGCCTTCTTGCTTAACGGGGTTCTGGTTCTGCTGGCCAGCGGCATTAGCCTGGCTTGCTTGTCCCTGGTTCTGGTTTCCCTGCTGTTGCTGTTGCTGTGCCTTCATCTTGGCCCTGTATTGGCGCTCGCGTGTAATGAACTTCTGTGACCATTCTGTCAACTTCTGGCGAGCATTGGTATTTTCCTGGCTCCCCTGCTGGTGCGTGTTGCAGATGTTCCAGAAATTCTGCATGATCAGGCGATACTTTTGCTTCTCGTCTTCAGGAAGACATTGCAGCTTGAGTATGTCGTCAGGGCGTAGCAGCTGTTGCTGCTGGCCGCTGTTGGGCTGCTGCTGCTGCTGGGGCTGGGGCTGCGATTCGCTCATCGTGAGGGCTGCGGACTCCCGAACCGCGCGATCAAGGCCGTCTGGGCAGTGTACGAGATTCCGTGGGGGATAGATATGACTGTTAGAATCGCGTATTTGTTGCGATTAGACGGGTGCGCGCGCGGAGAGATGGGGGTTTACGTCTGAATTATGGTGGCCGGAAGGATGAGGTTTGGAGTTGTGGTTGATCGAGGAGCCAAGCCAGCACCCAACCGTCGCGCGTTCCTTCAACAGCACGTGCACGCGTCATTCTCGACTATCGAAACAGAGACACAGCAGGACTGCGATGACGATAATAGTATTAGATTACAATCCTATCTCAGATTATTATTGTTATTCCGACGCGTCTGACACCTGGCTATCCTCGGAGATGGTCTTCTTGGATCCTGCCTTCAACGCCCTTTCGCGGGCATTCCTAACCTCCCATTCAAATTCCTTGAGTGCCCTGAGCTCGCTACCAACAAACAACAGCCCCATCAATCCGTCAACGACGCCCACACTGAACCCTAGTGTGCTCAAAAGCATCAAAATAAAAGCAACATAGTTCTTTGGTGACCACCACACACCAATCAGGCACCCAATGGAGAAGGATAATTGGTAGAAAAAGTGCCCTATCCGCAGCTTGCGCTGCACTCGCTCTCTAGCCTCGTACTTCATGGTTGTAGCCAGGATCTCATCGTAAGTCTCGATGGGCAGGAACCGTTCGGGCAGGGCCGAAGGAGACAGCGGAGCAGCTGACAGAGCAGTCGGAGTCCTCGTCAGCGTCGCCTCCACAGAGAAATGGTCACTGAGAGAGCAGTGTAAGGTAGGATGGCGCATTGCCATGCCCACATTCGCTTCCTTCAGCTCCCACTCCGCTGTCTCTTCTTTTGTCTCTGGGTTCTGAAATCTTCCACTGCTGTAAAAGATATAATCTAGCCGCTTCGCATTGGGGTCTTCGACGGCAGGATCTATCTGCACGTTTTCGCCCTTAGCAAGACGTCTTTGTTGGGCCTTGTTCCACCTCCAGGAGTTGAATTCGCTATCACATGTTGCGCCATTGATAGTCATGTTGAACTCAGCAGATGGCATCGGTACGCATCGACGGCGTTCAACCTCGTCCCTTGCTGCGCCGATCGAAGAATCGGGATGGATTATACGCCATACATCGCGGACTGGCGAGTGCGTCTCGATTATACGGTGTGCGAGGGATAAAGGAATCATATTAAAGTCGCCCATGCCGATGACGAGGTGACCACGTTCGGCGGCTGCACGCATGAGCTTTGTGATCTCCCATGCTTGGGCTGTGCGGTGGCAGATGTAGGAGTCGTGGGGTTCGCTTTCGTAGGGGGCGTGGAGCTATTCATGTCAGCGTGTGCATTTCGAATACTCGTCAACAGTATTGAGAACATACATGTGTACAGAAGACTTCCGCGATATCTCCCCGGGAGGGTCCTATTTGTATCTTTGCACAAGCAACACCTTTACCAACGAACCAATCTCCACGGTAGAATGCAGCAGGCCGTCCATTGAGTGGATAGCGCACCATGTTGCTCTCGATGATGGGCCATCGAGACAAGATGACTAGCCCGCCACCGAAAATGCCACTGTGATAGAACTTGCCATATGGCAGTATGTGCTTTGTCTTGTCACGAATCGCACGGTAGTCTTCTTGAGTCCAACACTCTTGCAGGCCGACGATATCTGGCTGCGGACTTGCAGCGGCAATTTGAACACCGATTTCGGTAAGACGCTCATTGCGAAGTTTGGAGATGAACTTGAGGCCCCAGCAGTTGAGCGAGAGGATGCGCATATTTGTGGGTGATTGACCGGTCTCGGAAGCCATGGTGAATATGTATCACCTCGAGAATAGCGGAGTGTAAATGCAATGATGCAACTGGGGAAATAGTTCCTGAAATGTTGCAGGGGTGCTCCTCACCGCCCGCACGCTAACGCCCATATTGCCGATCCGTCGCGTTTTCCAGTCCGACACCAAACAACTGGCTCCTCTACATTCAGCAATGGACGGCACACCATCACCCTCACCCAAAAGACGACACCAGGATGAGGATGCCTATGACGATGAGCGACCGCGAAAACGCTCTCCCTCCCACACACCACACAATGCCTCACCAAGTTACAGGCTAGCAGAACGGCCTGCGCGCCGGTATAGCAGAGACAACAGCGATGATGAACAGCGGGAATACCGAGATAGAAGGCCTTCATACTCACGGTCAAGGTCACGCTCGCCACGCTCGAGCTCTTCGTCACCCAGTCGACAACGCACCTCTCCTGCACCACCACCAAAACCGACCTCCCTAAACTACTCTCCCACCCTGATTCTGCGCGGCCACAAGAAAGGCATCACCTGTGTCAAGTTTTCTCCAGACGGCCGCTGGCTGGCCTCTGCGTCTGCAGATTGCACCATCAAGATCTGGGATGCCAAGACCGGCGCACTTGAACACACACTCGAAGGCCACCTCGCTGGTGTCAGCACAATATGCTGGTCACTGGATTCCAAGATCCTCGCAAGCGGCTCAGACGACAAGAGTATCCGACTATGGGATACAGCAACCGGCTTAGCACACCCCATTCCGTTCATCGGTCACCACAACTATATATACAGTATAGCGTTCAGTCCAAAGGGCAACATGCTTGTCTCTGGTTCCTACGACGAAGCAGTATACCTTTGGGATGTGCGCGCCGCCCGAGTTATGCGCTCCCTTCCCGCACACAGCGACCCGGTCGGCGGTGTCGATTTCGTTCGCGACGGCACGCTCATCGTTTCGTGCTCACACGACGGCCTCATCCGTGTCTGGGACACGGCAACCGGTCAGTGTCTCCGCACCCTCGTCCATGAAGACAATGCACCTGTGTCGTCAGTCATATTTTCACCCAACGGAAAGTACATCCTAGCCTGGACACTGGATTCCTGTATCCGGCTTTGGAACTATATTGAAGGGAAAGGCAAGTGTGTAAAGACGTACCAAGGACACACAAACAAGAAGTACTCGCTTTTGGGGACTTTTGGCACATACGGCGATCGTGAAGCTGGCCAGGAATATGCTTTTATAGCATCTGGCAGTGAAGACAATAGTGTCGTCCTTTGGGACGTGAGTAGCAAAAACATACTTCAACGACTTGAAGGCCATTCCGACGCCGTATTGAGCGTTCACACGCATCCGACCGAAAAATTGATTGTTAGTGCGGGGCTAGATCGTACTGTGAGGTTATGGAGACCGAGAGAAGGGGGAGACGATAAAGAAGAAGGAAAGACGAATGGGCATGAGGAGACAATCGTCGAGAACGGGATCAAACAGGAGGAAAGTAACGGATACGGGCATGATCCTTTGCCTCCGAATCCTTTTGCTGAGACATGAGCGTTAGCTATTTTTCCCAAACATGAAGAACGAAAAGCAGAGAGAGAAAAGAATCAGAGATAATGAAGTAGATAGTTTTAGATACCCCATACTATTGCTCAAATTCCGAGTAGGTAAATTTGCCCATCCTTTTTCTCTACGTTATGTGAGGCAACGTATCGCCCCAAACTACACATCAACACCCAAATCGTGCCTTTTTTTCATCCGCATAAAAAAAAGAGCCTCCAGCCAGAACGCCATTGTGCTTGATGAAAGTATCCCAAAACGCCATGCAATGCCACGTCTTGCTTCTCTCACAAGTTCACACCCAGTCTTGCCTTTTTAGCTGAAATGTATACCCTCTTGATTAAACGCATACAACAGCTTCAAGAAATCAGCCTCATCACACAACCGCGCTCGCTTATCAGCAAGCTGCGTTTCATCCTCAAGCACCTTCCTAACCTTCTCCCGCACAAGCTCTGCGAGCCTACCCTTGCGCTTACGATTCGCCCCGTTCTTGCTCTTCTTGCTTTCAGCCTGGAGTTGCTTGAAGAAATCAGGGAGCTCATCGTCTGGCTCGTCGGGATCGGAGAAACCCTTGAACTCGTCGTCGACATCCATGGTTTCGGCCTCTTCTGCTGCGGCGATTTCACTAGGATCGAGCGGGGTATCGTCGACGGGGATGTCGTTTTGTGCGCAGTAGAGACGATAATTACTAGCGAGGAGTTCGAGGACAGCTGCTGTGCCCATAAAACTAGCGCGCAAGGTCCTGTTCTTTCGGACGAAGCAGATTCGCAACAGACCGTCCCACTCCTCGTATGCAATTTGCGGGCGGGGGTTCTTGGGCTCGATGCGCACAACGTTGCTTTCGACTTGGGGAGGAGGATTGAAGTTGTTGCGTCCGACTTTCATGACATGAGAGACTCTAGACCACATTTGAACGTTGACGGAGAGGCGCGAGTAGAGTTTTTCGCCAGGTCGCGCGAATAGGCGCATGGCGAATTCGCGCTGGAACATAAGTACACAGCAACGTGGAGGGTGTTGCAGTGCGAGCAGTTTGAAGACCAGGGGAGAACTGATTTGGTACGGTGTGTTACTGATGCAGACGTCGAATCGTGGGAGTTCGGCCTTGATCACATCGCCCAGCCGTATTGTCAGTCTCTTTTCCTCTGGCGAGCCTTGTACTCGCTTTGTCAATTCTGCTGCCATTCGCGGATCCATTTCTACGGCTGTAACTTGCTTCACCGCCTTAAGTATCAGAACTGTCAGGTTACCGGTACCAGGTCCGACTTCCAGGACGTGATCGCTTTGTTTGAGGTGCGCTTTTTGGACAATAGCTGTTGCGACACCAGGGTTTTTGAGGATATGCTGGCCGAGGTCCTTGTCCATCTTGAAGATCGAATGCGCCGCTGCCGCCTTGGCTGATGTCGGTTTCGAGTAGGGCGAAGAATTGTTGTCAGCACCTTTGCTGCGCTTTTGCTTTGCTTTCGGCATCTTGAGTGGTTGTGGGTATGTTCTGGAGCGTCGTCGGCGGGGTTTATGTCGGTCGTAATGAGTCGATTTCTATTGCAGAAATATACGCGAAACAATTTTTCTGGTCTACCAGGTGTCTCTAGTGGACGTGAGGATGTGACGCCGCTGGTGAGGAGTTGGTGTCGGCTGTCGGATGTGGGGATAATTTTTTGGGTGTTGCGGACTTAACGCGGGGTTAAGCAGCACATGTGAGCCCGCGTTCCTACTGAACGCGTCCCTTGTTAATGACGTCTGCTGCACCTTTCCTTCTACAGTTGCATCAAATCTTCACGTCCTTCATTACTTCTATATGAGGGTAGACCGTTTGAAAATAAATATTCCTACTTCACACCCACTCCACTGTCGCTCTTTTACAGTCATTGTACACGCTCGCTCTCTCCTACACCTCCCGTTGTTGAAGCCGCGCCCCTACTTAACTTTTCCGGACACAAACAGCAATTGCTCGCTCCAGATTCCGTTTCTACACGAAAAACCACGTGTAGCTACTTTTGATAAGGCAAAGCCCGCTTCAAAACGCTCAGGCCGAACATCACCCAGAAATTGGTCCGCAAATGCTTTCAGGGGCCCGTTGAGCTGTTTACCTTATCGCCACCGCTTTCACTCATTACCATTCGTTCCTTTTACTCAAGTCGCCGGTCTTCCGCCTCATAGTCTTGTATATTCCCTGAGTCCTTTCTCTACTGTATCGACAGCCTTGGTTGGTTCACAAGCTCCCACTACAATTAGCAATAATCTTCAAACATCACACGCCATGGCTAAACCACTCGAAGGTACTACTTCCGGCTCCTCGCTCTCATTCATTTCTAACTAAGTGAACATAGTGACCGAATCTGTGACTGTCGTTCAGTCCACACAAAATGGCAGGAAGAGAAAGGCAGAGACAACTTCGCGTACAAAAAGGACCACAGCCCAATACACTGAAGTAGAGGAGGTTGCTGCAGTTGCCTCCAATTCACCTCGAACCAGCAAGCGTGCAACGAAGAAGGTGAAATATGAGCAGGAAACTGACAACGAGATGGTCGACCAACAAAGTGACAACGGCGAAGGCAGGCCCAAGCAAGCCTTGAAACGAACCAAGAAGGTGGCTGCTCAAGGGCCCGTTACAGATGCCAAGCTCAATGACGACAGGACCGTTGAAGACAACAAAATCAGCAAGAAGAACGTCAAATCTACGAAAAAGAAGGCTGAAGACGTCAATGAAGAGAAGCCTAAAAAGGTCACCAAATCCAAGGCCAAGCCAGCGAAGATTCTACCACCCATTGCAGAGCGTACCAAGGATATCAAGCTGCGAGTTGGCGCCCACGTGAGCATTGCTGGAGGTTAGTTATGACCATTCCTTTAGCTTCAATTAGAATGCAGGCTGATATGGATCGAATTCACTTTTAGGCGTACACAACGCTATCATCAACGTCGTACACATTGGGTAAGTGATTTTTCTTTGGTACTTCAGACGTGATATCTTATGGAGGCCCTACGGTGTATGACTAGAACTAACCTTTCTAGTGGTAACGCCTTTGCTATGTTCATGAAGAATCAACGCAAGTGGGAAACGGTCGATATGGACCCAGAGCATGCACAATTCTTCGTCCAGTGGTGCAAGGACCATAGCATAGACGCCGCAGAGTGCTGCTTGCCTCATGGCTCATACCTGGTCAACCTCGCGCATCCGGATCCTACACGCAAGAAACAGGCCTATGACTCTTTTCTCAATGACTTGACGCGTTGCCATAGGCTCGGCATTCGGTATTACAACTTTCATCCAGGCAATGCTAACGCGACCACCCACGAGGAAGGAATCCGGATCATTGCCGAGAATCTCAACAAGGCCCATGCAGACCCGAAGACTGGCAAAGTTGTTACTGTTCTTGAGACCATGGCAACCCTTGGCAATACCATTGGTGGCACCTTTTCTGACCTCGCAGCCATCATCAAGCTTATCGAAGACAAAAGTCGTGTAGGTGTTTGCTTAGACACCTGCCACGTTTTCGCCGCCGGTTATGACCTCCGCACCCCCGAAGCATATGCTGAAACGATGAAGAAGTTTGACGAGGAGATCGGTTTGGAGTATCTCAAGGCCTTCCATATCAACGACAGTAAGGCTCCTTTGTCAAGCCACCGTGACCTTCATGCCCGCATCGGCACTGGCTATCTCGGGCTCGAATCCTTCCATAACCTCATGAACGATGAGCGCTTTCATGGTCTTCCCATGGTTCTCGAGACACCCATCGACGTGACTGACAAGAATGGAAAGAAGGTCGAGGACAAGGGTGTTTGGGCCCGGGAGATCAAGATGTTGGAAAGTCTTGTTGGCATGGATGTCGAATCTGAGGAATTCAAGACACTGAGTGCACGTCTTCAAGATGAAGGCGCGGGTGAACGTGAGCGTGTTGGTGACCAAGTGCAAAGAAAGACGATCAAAGATGCGAAACCTAAGAGCAAGAAGGCGGCTAAGAAGAAGGTCGAGAGCGAAGAGGAGGATGACATGGAAGAATAAGCACCAAAGCATCTGGGGGCTGCTTACCACCGCCACCGACGAGATGGATGACGCATGTGGGGGTATTTGGCCGCAGTGAAAGGCTCGGTTCGGGTATATGTTTCTCGCTAGTCTTTTGACTGAGGCTTGGACTAGCTAGTTTTGAAAGGGGCGTGTTCGGTGCATGGGTCTCATAGGGCGTGGACAATTTTATATCTGAAGATACCCTGGGTTGGCATGTTAGAAGCGTCGATTCAGTCATGGTATGCTTTGTCAGAATCTACACAGCTTAATGAGCACAGAAAATACGCTAGGTAATACAGAGAGAAAGAGTGGGTATACTGCCATTAGGAAGAGGCCTGTGTGTGGATCATACAAGTCATGTTTGTAATATGCTCGACCCCCTGCCTTAAGTAAATTAAATCTGCAACTACTGGATGATAGTTATTGGTGGGCCATTTGCAGGAGGGTCAGCAAGCTTATCCCTTGGGCGCTAATGCTGCGGCGAGGCCCTGGGGGAGTAGAATCGGCAGTGACCAGAAGTGAGACGGCGATATTAGTTCCTAGCTGAAATATGGTTGAAATGCAACCATTGCATACAATAGCGTCTGTCTGTCACAATCGGGCCTTTGAAGCGTATACCACTGATATGGCTGGGTGTTGAAGTGCATGCTACAGGAGTAGGGCTGTGTGCGCGCCGGGAATAAGGAGGTTTGTAACGGCGACCGCGAAGGCGACTAGACATTGCCACGATCCTCCCGCGGATAGTACGGTAGGCAGACTTTCCGGACCACGAGCGCGGTTAAAGCGTTGGAGTAGCGATACGCCGTACGCAAAAGCAAGTAACAACCGAGGTGTGTAGTATAAGGCGGTGGAGGAGGAGGAGGAGGTTAGTTAGATGTGCCTACCTATAGCTACTACGACTGGACTTCGCCTCAGTGCACACCGATGGTCGACGACTGCTGGCAGACAACGCATAGAGGGCTGGTACCTGCCACTCAGTTGCAGAATTAGGCTGCAGATATCTTATCAGCCCTACAAGCGGCAGGAGGTGCCCCTCTTACATCATTTTGGTTGCGTGTGTGGCGGCCGGAATGCCCGTCGGTAAAGTAGCAGACGTTGGAAACGGTGGTGGCTTTGAACATATATCTCCGCGCGAATGGCATATGAGGCTCCTTTTGCCATACTAGTTGCCCATGTCCGCCTTGGGCGCGGGGGAGCAGCGGCGATCTTGTACGGTGTGGGAGTCACACGATGATGGCTTGCGGTCCATGGACATGGTATAGTGTGGGCTCTAGCAGCGGGGAAAGGGGATGGTAAGCAGACGGGGCGCCAGCGGAGAAGCCGAGCGGTCGGGAGTAGGCGTGTATGTGTGTACCAGCACTATCAGGGCTTCATCACGAGTTTGGGGAATGGCATAGGGTGTGCTGCGGTTGGTGTCTGGGGCATTTGGGCTTGGCTGTGGCTGTCGCTGCCCTTGCAGTCGGGCCTTCCGTCGTTCGCCCACACTCTGCTACACTGAACACAGGCCATCTGACCGGCTCACGCACCGTCTTCGGCCGTCTTTCTAGCCTCGTCGCAGTCACGACACTACCCGAGACCACTCTCAGTCCCCCCAACGTCATATCCAGCCCGGCCAATCAATCGCGCCTCAGTCGTATACGCGTCAGGCCTAGCCCCCTTGGGCTTCATGCTGCGAACACGTGAGTCGGCAAGCTTCATCTTCCACCAAACGCCCACCGCCAGTCCGGGATGTGAAAACCCAGCCCTGTTGCACTAAGCCCTGCCCGCAGCCACAATGTGGAAGCTTGTCCAAGAAGCGTAGTGGGTACGGACATCCCGCATACTTCATACACAGCATCATCCAACCACCAAATGGCTATTCATGTGCGTCGACCGCGAATGCTTTGAATTCACTTTCTCATGTCTCTATTAATTCCACGGCTCCATCCCACCACCCATCGGATTACTGACCCGACGTGTTCCCAGTCCTCGACAGGTGCGCCAGCTGCAAAGTATGGTCGGCGTCCCCAAAAGCACGGGGTGCCTCATCTGCCGGAAAAGGAAAATTAGTAAGTCGCCGGATCTCTCCTCCGCGCGGGCTTCTTCTGACTATTGCTAGAGTGCGGTAAGGCTAGCTCCATGGCTTGGGCCCGACTCGAGCACCCTAGCTAATGATGAACAAGATGAGACCTGGCCAGCTTGCGTAAACTGCCAAAAGAACAGCAAGTCGTGCCCAGGTCCCCCATCTCGACACACCTTCAGAGACCTCGGTCCAAGGTTTAACGCAAACTCTACAAAGTTCGCTGGCGATGAACCCAGCGCACCGCCAGGTATGCTATACTAATCGAAACCAAAGCCACATATTCACAAAATCCCATAGATCAAGGGCACAACCGCTTGACGCAATTGAACGAAAAGTTCGCCGAAAATGGCTCAGTGACCCACAAGTTCAGGATTTCGCAAGGCGGTTCCACGCCTCGAAAAAGGTCCACGCGCTCAATCTCAGCGGGGTTCAGCCCGCCCAAGTCACCCTTCCCGAGACACCCATCGCCATCACAAGATCAGCAGCTCGCGCATGCCTTGATCGCAGCTACGAGAACCGGGAGTGCTGGACATCGAATGTCCGTCTTTGGATCCTTCATCCAAGAAGTCCCTGCTAGAATTGGACATAATCCTGCGCTTGACGCTGCTGTTACTGTACTCGTCAATGTCCACACATCGTTGGTCTACAAGAAGGCAGCGAATGAGATTGTTTCTCCTGAACTCTATATTCGGGCCATCAAGACGTTGCAAACATGCCTTGAGCATCCACAGCTCGGTTTGTCACCCGAGACACTCTGCGCATCAGTACTCTTGGGTTTGGTTGAGGTAAGATCTGCTTGGCCAGATTTTATCTTCATAACCATACTTACACCACCAGGCGTTCGCAGGACCCAGGACGGGGAATCGATATTTAACTCATGTAGGCGGCGCTGGGCGATTGATGGAACTGCAAGGTCCCGGAAGATATCATGACAGGTTTACAAAGGAGATGCTACGCTTCAACCGAGGCGGAATTGTATGTCGACCTCCATAATCCACGGAAAGAGCCACTTTATCCCATAGCTGCGACCGAGACACATACTGTTCTCAGCTGACATGTGGACAGATTATTACTTGCATGTACGAACGTAAACCGTGTTTTCTTGCCTCACCTGGCTGGCGAGAGATAGCTTTTGACAAGACGGGGCTTGGATTCGATGATTGCTTGAACACCGATTTGATGCAGTATATGGCAGAGTTGCCAGGTATCTTCAACGAGCTGAAAGAGCTAGGTGATCAGCGTGTCTTTCAACTTTCACGCACCTCGGGCCTCACTTTTGACTCGAGTGGTCAATCACAAAAGTCTTCGTCTGAGACTCCTCCGTCACTTGACTTTTCCTCAGGATCCTTTGATGACATGGAATTTCTGGACGAATTACAGCCCATCGATGCGTCCTATCCGGTCGATCCAAACTCGTATGCCTGTCCATACGATCCTGTACGTGCTGCCTTACTACAAAAGGTACGCAACCTTAAGGATGCCCTTCGTACTCTGGGCGAGCACATGGATGCGAAACTCAGAAACGGGACCGTTGCATCCGAGAAAGAACCCAGCGAAAGGGACAGCCCTGTGCGCACAATATATCACTTCAACCATTGGCGGGACATGACTGCATACAACTGCTTCTGGTCCGTCGTTATCCTGACGAACAAGATTCTAATGCGACTCCTGTCCCCCTTCGATCGAAGCGTATACGAGATGCAATTTGAATGCCAGTACATTGCTCTCGAAATCTGCAGGACATGGGAAGATGCCTGGGCTAGTAGGCCAATAGGCGCGTTCCACACGGGCCTTAGTTTTGTTGTTGCATATGAGTTTTGTGCTCAGGATGTTAAAGAGTGGATAGTCAGAGGGTTGAACTCTCTCCTTGACTATCAGCAGGTTGATGCATTTCGTTGGTCAGACGAAGTCATTACTCATATGTCTTCTAAACTTTCTGGAGAAGGGCCAGGTCTTGCTTTCTCCAATTTTAGGACCTCAGGAGAAGCGACTTGAAGGGCATGGCCTTGAAACACAAATGAAAAAGAAGCGACCAACACGTTCCGATCCGTTCGGGTGGCAGTCTGACTATGGAGATTGATGCCGAGCCGCGGCCGGTCGGAATTTGGCCTAGTGGATGCATGACAAAAACTTGGTCTCACTCACAATCTTACATGCAGACGTACTGCATATGGGTTTATCAGCCCTATGCGCATTTGGGGGCGGAATATAAATCACGTGGCTTTTGTGTAAATGGTTCGAGTGCTGACGAATCTGCTCTGTACCTAGACCGTCTCGGCACAGATAAGCCACAGCGGGTACGGTGCCGGACGGGTCAATGCCTGATGGCTCAACCCCCGGCCCGTAGAAGGCGTGAGAAGCGAGACTGGACCTTTCCTTTGGCGACGTAGTGAGATTTTGAACATACAAGAGAAGGGTCGGCAGAGTAATTCTCAACGCACTCAGACAAGGACATGGTAACATTATCTTGATATTTTCCAACGTCGTTCCCCAGAGGTAGTTGTGTGCTTGTATTAAGATGGATGGCACAGACTCATGGGGTCAGTTTCGTCCTGTTTTTAGTAAGCTCACTGTAGACTACTATGTAAGCCAATCTACCACAATACACTCTACACGGTACAACCTGATACCCCATAAATACCACTTTAACCACTCCGCACTTGTTACTCACTCACAATTCCTACTAAAAGCCTCATCATCCTCCGTCTCTCCCAAGGCCATCACACTCCAAAACCCCAACTCTGCTCGACCTTCGCACACGCAAATACCATCATACAGTACTAGCACCAGCTTCACTTTTTACTGCCCAGCGGCTCGGAAATGCATCTTCTATCTACATAACCTAGGGAACGGGACCCGGCTAGCCCACCACCAGGCGATCTTGTATTAAGCGCAGAAGATCAGGTAGAGTGAAGGAGTCACTGATTATAGTGGAATACGAGAGAATGCTGAGGGTAGGAATGCCACGTGTGCTTGGATTGTGAATGAAGATTGAGAACAGAAACACGGAGAAAAAGTCGAAACCCCAGATTTGGAAAGTAGTATGAATCGGTTTTTCTTCATCACGATCGTTTCTTTTGTCATTGCAGGGCCATACTATGCTTCTTGCATCGAAACGCCACATAACCGTTTGAAGCGTCCAAAAAAAAAGCACAGAGAAAAAAAGCCCGATCGCATTGACACGTTTTACTTTTTCCCCGGACCGCAAAACAGCACAGAGCAGCATCGCATTGACATCTTATTTCTTTTTTCAAACGAAGAACGACAGCGGCTTTGTTTCCAGAACCTAAAAAGCAACGTCCCAAACGCCAAAGCTGACAACAACACAACATCCCTTACCCCTCCCCGTTTCCATCCCCAAACTTCCCCCCTTCCAGCATAGACATCTCTACCCCTTCTCATACTCAAGTCGAGATACCACACCGTTTCTTACAATCCGCACTCCCGATAATAGCGCCGGTACCCACGGCAGGAATATTCTTGCCTACATCCGCCGCGTTGAAAGCATCGTTGCCGAAGCCCGCGCCGATGATATCTTGGGGTACAGACCACAAGCTCGGCAGAATATTCAGAGTACCACTGTCATCGCTGTTAAGCGATGAGATGAGGAGGGATGGCTCGCAACCTATATTCGGAGTATTAGTAAATCATTAATAAAACTAGTAATACCATGTCGTAGAATATGTAATGCCGTCTTTTTCCAAAACGGGAAGGGGGGGGGATGGATGAGTAAAATAACCCCCACAAGGCTTTTTACCCACAAAAGACTACTAACTGAGACGTTCCCGATTAGGAAGTACGTCGATGGCCTCTAGTACCAAATATAGCCAACATGACAGAAAATAGCCGGCCAGTCGATTGATAGGAAATGGGGGAAAAGAAGGGAAAATGAGAGAAAAAAACAAAACATACCATTATTCTGCATCATATGCAAACTCGCCTGCGGAAACACCGTCACCATCATCGGCAGCAACTCCACCTTCCTCACCCCGACCCCATTCTCCCCAATCATCCACGTCGTCGTATTCCCAGTGATAGCAGTGACGATATTCGTAGCCCGCGGATGTAAATGCGGGGGCAGCATACCGCACGGCGCCAACTTGAGCAATGCAACGCTCGATCCGAGACCGGTGACGGCAGGGAAAGTGGCGGCGTCGGCGTTGATGACGGCGCCGGTTGGGGAATCGTAGTTGGGGTGCTTTGTAAAGTCGTAGGTCCAGTCTGCGCTGTTGGGGAGCAGGGCGGCGCGGTCAAAGGATGTGGCTGCGGTGCGTAGGGCGGCGTTGAGTTCCGGGTGGAGAGTACGGGATTTGGGGGTTTGGGCGGTGGTGAGGGTTGTGAGGAGGGTGAGGGGGAGGAGAAGGAAGTTTGTGAGGAGAGTCATTGTGGAGATTTGAATAGAGGACTGGTCTTGGAGGATTGGAGAGGTGAGAGGTTGGGGGAAGGGGTAGTGGTGCGTTGATGATGATGATGTGTTGGAATGGGTGGGAGACACGCTCTTGATATAGATTACCATGAGAGGTGAAATCTTGCGGCTGTCCTGCGCTCAGGAAGCCGTATGTGTGTGTGTGTGTGTGTGGTGGATAAAAAAACGAGGCTATAAACCGGCCTTGCTAACTAGATGTAGAGCGAGATAAGCTCTAGGTGTTGATGTGCAAGGGAAAATGAGACCGAGCCGTGTGGTGCTGACGGTTTCGAAGCTAGTATCAACGGACTTGCAAGGTTGGGAGATTTGGTAAGCAATGTAAGGCTTATTTTCTGGATACTAGATTTGGTGGCTCAGGCATACGATGGAACTTTATATACTCAAGTAGACTAAAACGGTGCGTCAGCGATGCACGACGAGCCGTTAATAGTAAACGGAGACGACGAGAGACGAAATGTGTGTGCGAAGAAAACGATGGGCTGCTGACCGTTCAGTCTGCAACTCCTTGTCGTAGACTTTCAAGCCACTGTTACTCCTGCTGGTGGCGTCCGTTAGAGACCATCTGGTGGAATGTTTCCAGATATGGCCGTTCTGTTCTGATACGTATCGGTACTCATCCTATGGCATCCTCTTCCGGAAAGACAACCTGCTTACTATGTCACTGTTCCGTACGATTATTAAACTTTAAGCTTATTTTGATCATTCAATAAAAATGACTGATCGAGATCAGATTCCCGAATACTACAACCTTTGCCAGATCCATAGACACATGGGTACTTCTAATCTTGTCGCAAACCCGGCATGTGGATGCCTACTGACGATTGAGATTAGTTGCACCACGTCAATAGGCCGACAACCGGGTAGAGCAAGGTCTAGACAGAAGCAGCTGTAATAGGTGCTGTATTATGACCTGTCAGCCCTCTTGGTTTGCTCGAGTCTTGTACAAAGGCGTCTGTAACGCTGTGCGGTTGTAAGTGCGTGATTGAGATACCTCTGCCACTTACATTCGTTGCTACGTGCATTACTTCGCAGTCGGTAGCGGCCTGGTGTGATTGAATGATGCTTTTGAGCGCTACTTACGATATGAGCCTGATGTTGAGGATGACCGGGTCAGTGTAGGCCAAAATCTGACCCATAACCGTGGTTGTTTTGCAGTCCATTATGTGTCAAGCCACCAACAAGCGGTCAAGAAAGTTTACCATTTGACAGACGCCTTACAACGGCGCCTATGGAACACAGACTGCCGAGGGACGTCACAGTCATACTCAACGAGACAAAGTCACGTTGTAGATCCTAATGAGCAACACCGTTGTCCTTCAGTGAAACGGTTGGCCTAAAAGATTGCGCAATGCGTTGTGCAAGCATTGATACCAGTCAACTGCACGCAAATGAACGTGCAAAGAAATGCTTCACGTGGGCCAGGCCAATCGTACCGTGGTCGTGCTTGCATTGTTGCACAATTTTTGTGATCTTGTTCTACCTCCTACCTGTGCTTTTGCCCAACGACTCTTACTCAAGAGAAATTCACCTTTTGTTTCAAGCCTGGATGGATTAGTACAATCTGTGAAGCATGCACACCGGCTAACACTGTTGGAATGAATCGTGACACGGGAAACTGTCAGCCGTTAAACATCTAGATCGACGTCTCATATTGATAAACAGAGAGCGTTATAGACTAGATGAAGGTGTTAGATGCATATGGTGTGGCTTCCAAGTAGTCTGTGACATTCCAATCCGGTTTAGACACCCGGTGCCCCTCCCGAGCTTGATGACACCCCAACACGGTGTCTGCCATTCATTCCACTTGAATCTGTATCACGATCTCTTCGACAGTCTGAGCGATACATGTATGGCATACCAATGACGAATCTGCATCATTCACTCATACCAGCATTTTCATGGCCGGCGCTGTCTGTGCGCATGAGATAGGACATGATGCCCCAAACCCCTCTCATAGCTTCAGCGCGATCTTCAATGTTGAACAAGTCAAACCATCTTGTTCTCTGTAATTTTGGCGAGCACCAGTCAGATTCCGGTGGCGTCTCAACAGGGAGTCTGCCTTCAGTGATAAGCTCCAGATATGCAGGATGTATGCGAAGCCTTAACAAGCTAATGTGGTGGTTCAATGACGATACCATGAATACCTGGGGTGTCTGATTAGCGAATAGAGCCTTGTAAAGCTGTTGCACGAAACCCTACATCGTCCCACGCGATGCTCCTGTCTTTGCCAATCGCCTCGTATGTGACCTTTGGGTCCCAGAGCGGATTTCCGGGTCGCAGTGTCTTCCAGACTTCAGCTGGTGTTGGCCTCCGACGAGCTTTGGACCCGTCTCGATTTCTCTCAACAGGCTTTTCTTCTAGCTTGGAAATCGCCTCCTTTTCAAGGATCTCAGCAGCTCCAATAGCCTCACCAACTTCGCCCCCAGGGCCTCCGCCCCAGCGCTCTTTGGTCGTCCACCACTTGCCTTCACCCGCTCTTTGCTCACATTTGCCTTCTCTAGCTCTTTCCTGTGCAAGCAATAGCAGGCCCCCTAGCTCTCTTACAGCATCTAGAGTGGACTGGGCTTCTAGTCTTCCGGTTGCTCCAAAGTTGACATCGGCTCTGCACTGCATGCCTAGTACAGGACCTTCCAAGCAACCCTGTCTAGCCTTGACTCTGTCTTGAGGGCCACGCCAAGCTACAGAGCTCATACGGACTGGAAATCGAATGTGCTCGATTGTGAGCACAGGCGGACGCCGATGTGGAAAGAGTGTCACACCAAAAGCCCATGCAATAGGCTCTAGGAATGAGCGCACGCATTCAATCCGATACTGGTCAGGCATCCCAGCCCCATTGCCTATACGGTAGCCTCTATAGGTGCCTCGAGGAACATCGGCTGGCATACTCTCGGCCTTTTTGTTAGTGCCCCTTGGTGTTCCAAGCGGGTCAACGTTGTTTCGATGTATGCGTTCTGGATGTGCCGGTTCCTTCGACAGGTCTCTTCCAGAACCATTGTTACCTTGGACGTATATCGATTGCTTCTCACCTCTAGTGTCTCCTACCTTTGCCTTCTTTCGAGGCTCCTCTGTGCCAAGCGTGCAGGGCTCTGACTTGGGTGCAGATGCCTTCTCCGGGTTGGTTTCACCCGAGGCCTCTTGGGGATTGGTATCAGTGGACCCCGACAGGGGGTTGGGGGCTGTTCGTTCATCACTGTTTGCTCCTTGAGCTGGGGGCAAGTATTCGTCCAAAGATGTGTCCCAATAGTAGGCTAGGTTATCAAGTCCTTCCCAGAATTTCCGGAAATGAGCCAGTCGAAGTGGTGGTTGAGTTCCACACCCTTTGCGTGTAAGGGTAGAGAAGGCATCGGCGTTATTGAAGAACAATTCTCTTGAGCGGACAAAGAAGTCACGCTGCTCTGGTGGTTTTCTACCATTGCTCAGAAGTTTGGGAGGAGTGCCAGTATTTGAGGACGACTGCTGTTCTCCGGGGCTGTCAAACCAGGATCTGGGAGGCAAGAACGACTCTGCATTGTTTGACAGGGACGAAAGGAATGTTTCCAGGTCACTTTCTGGCTGAAACGTGACATTTAGCAAGGCCAAGGTCTCCTCAGTGACATCGGAGGGCTTCTTCAGTCGCAGAAAATGGTCCGTTATCCTGGCACCTGGCTGGGACCACGAAGCTGGTGGTGCTTGTGTTGACGGCTCGGGCGGGTGGAGAGCAGGAAACGTGACGGGTGTCGGTTTCGGTGGAGGGGACCTCTGTTTCTGCGTGTCATATTGCCCCGCCAGTAGGTTTCCTATGGAAGAAAGCCCTGTATCAGCGACTATACTGCACGTGCACTACATGTCTCAGACGAAACATGTGTGAAATGTCCAACAAACAGACGAGCGCGCGCAGCACAACTTGCAGCCTGGCATCCGAAGATGTTCAGAGCGAGTGGGAAACAAATTGGCGTATACACTGGGCTTCACAAAGTGCTTGGTGTTGTGTCGAGACGACGGGCAATGCTGTTGGGTGAGGGACGTGTGTTTAGGACATCATGCAAACGGGGCCTCGTCATGCGCCCACATGAAGGCCCCCCAACAAAACGGCAGGGAGGGAGAGGAACACAAATAGACGATACTTACCGCTGAAGGTGAACATGGTGGTGTGCTGGTGCAACTGGGCCTCGGCCGACCCTCGACTCAGGGAGGAGAAGGGCAAGGAGTTGGCAACGTCGAGCTGGAGTAGTGGCCGCGGATCCCTAAACCGGACGTGCGCATCCAGGGTACCAGCGTCTCCACATGTGCATGCCACAGACAATGGATGTTGACGAGCATGCAATGGTGATGCATACCAAGCCACCTCGAGGAGCAAAGGACCCCGGATCACGGCTTCTGACAGCTGCTATGCTTGTCGTGTCGTTGGCTTGGCTACCAGGTACCAGCAACACTCTGGTGGGCGCTACCTGGCCCCAAGACCGTTGATATGTGAAGGTCGTCCGATGCGCCTGACTCGGTTGGGCAGGTGCTGGCAGAGATGCTTGCAACCAGAACGGCGACTTGTCTGGAGTAGGTGTGCTATGCCATGGCCGATTGGGTTGAGCGTGCTGCCATGGTGGAGGAAGGGGGAGAGAGGGAGTCACGTGCTAGCAGTAGTGGAAGCACGGCTAGTCGACCCTCGACGACGCAGCGAGAGAGGGGCAAAGGCGCCTCTTTCTCTCTCTGCCCCTCTGCCTCTGCCTCTGCCTCTGCCCCTCAACCACAATTCTCATCGCCAGCTAACATGGCCATGGCCATTGCCATGGCCGCTATGACGGCTGCCAGCATCTCTCGTCAAGTGGCTAGTCTGTGTGCTGAGACGGCGAGGCTACCGCTGTTCAGGAACTGCGAGGCCTACGGCGCTTCAAGTCCTGTTCGAGGCGCGACATGAAGCCGCCCGCGTTTCAGACGGCTACAAGCGCACCATGGTATACCAACGGTTGACGAGTACCCAGCTG